CCTCCCAAGTAGCTGCGACCACAGGTGCCCACCACAACATCTGGCTATTTTTTGGTTGCAGCCATCATTGTTGTTTGGTGGGCCCGGGCTGGATTCAAACCTGCCACCTTAGGTGTATGTGGCTGGCGCCTTAGCCACTTGAGCCATAGGCCCAGAGCTGGAACTAGAGGTTATTATATGAAGTAAAATAAGCCAAGCACACAACAAGAAGTATTACCTGTTCTTAGTAATGTGGGAATTAACAAAGTGGACTTCACGAAAACAGAGAATACCTAATAGGTGGTTGGGGGTACCCAAGGACAGGAAAGTTGGAAGAGCTGAGGAGACAGTAGAGTTGACTAATGGGTACAAATACAGAAGAAATAAGACCTAGTCTTAGATAGATCAGGAGAGTGACTATAGTTCACAATAATCATTTTATGTTTCAATAGAATTCAAATAGTTTGAATATAAAAAAGACAAATATTTAAGGTGATGAATAAATATCCCAAGTACACTGGTTTGATTTTCACAAATAATATGAATGTACAGATCCTCACATGTACTTTACTATGTACATCTATGTATTACGCATCTATAAAAACAAAACTACACTCCTTAGCTGTAAACACCCTCCTCCCAGCACTAAAAACCATACAGTACAATAGTATTTAAAATAGCCTGCTCCTCCAGGCTTGGTACCTGTAGCTCAGCGGCCAGGGCACCAGCCACATACACCAGAGCTGGCAGGTTCAAACCCGGCCCCGGCCTGCCAATCAACACTGACAACTCCAACATCAACAAAAAAAAGCCAAGCATTGTGGCGGGTGCCTGTAGTCCCAGCTACTTGAGAGGCTGAGGCAAGAGAATTCCTTAAGCCCAAGAGTTTGAGGTTGCTGTGAGCTGTGATGCCACAGCATTCTACTGAGGGTGACAGCCTGAGACTCTGTCTCAAAAAATAAAAAATAAAAAAAATAGCCTGCTCTTTTGTTAAGTGAGTTCAGGGCTTCCTAAAAACTCATTATATAATCCAGGAGCACCTTAAAATTATAGTGTCTTTTACTATAGCTTTTTGTTCTTTCATGTTTAATTAATAAGCTTATCTACTGAGTACAACAGAAAAGTAATGACATTTCAGGGTCTAATGCCTTCATTTCAATATTCTTTTGTAAGGAAATGATCTCACTATTCAAGTACAATGCAGAGAAATTCAGTAAAGCTGGATACTGAAAGGCAGCACCTGTGGCTCTGTGGGTAGGGCTCTGGCCCCATATACCAAGGGTGGCAGGTTCAAATCCAGCCCCGCCAAACTGCAACAGTAACAACAACAAAAAAATAGCCCAACATTGTGATAGGAACCAGTAGTCCCAGCTACTCAGGAGGCTGAGGCAAGAGAATCACATAAGCCAAAGAGTTTGAGGTTGCTGTGAGCTGGGATGTCACAGCACTCTACTGAGGGCGACAAAGCAAAACTCTGTCCCCCCAAAAAAAAAAGTGGATACTGAAATGTAATAAATTACTATACTTTATCATGTAATAACAAATAATAACAAAACTATCAAGATTTCAGGCGGCGCCTGTGGCTCAAAGGAGTAGTGTGGCGGCCCCATATGCCGGAGGTGGTGGGTTCAAACCCAGCCCCGGCCAAAAACTGCAAAAAAAAAAAAGAAAAAAACTATCAAGATTTCAAATTTCCATTCCCATGAACTTTCCTTCAACATACCAAAAGACAATAAATCACCATACCCAATATCTGTAAGGGGTGGTTTATCTCTCCCTCTCTTATAACAGAGGTAAAGTTCTGGGCTTTTCAGACTTCCATAGTTCAAATTCGCTTGGAGAGCTGATGGAGTGGCTTCAACACAGGTGTAACCTTCAGGGACTGCTTCCCCAGCTGATTTGATAATAACAGCAATGTCTGTAATTGGAGCTTTAGGTCCAGTTGACTTAGTATCTAAACGATTTACTTCTTGATCCAAAAGAGTAGATGTATCAGTGAGACCCGCCACAACAAAGTAGTCTGTCACTCTCAGTCCTTTGTCTTCTATCATGGCTGCTATTTGAGTTCCTAGAAGAAAGAGGGAGAAAAAGACATTGATTTAATAAAATACTTTATCCTGACTCACTAAAATTATAATAACCTTGAGTTCACAATGACCAACCAGCATTCTTCCCAGTTGGATTTATAACCAAACTGTCATTCTGAGAAGGACACTGCTTTTATCTTTTCAGCTTTTACCTGATACAAGGTCCAAATTAATAGCTCATTTGTATCACAACCATGATCCTTTCTTGTGCCTAACGCTCTATTAAGAATAAACAAACTGGCTC